AATTGAAAATCCTTTCAAGGATATCTGCAAAGAATTCTTTGAAGATTGCGTAGAACGTTCGCAAATGGTTAATATTCAAGGGACGCTGATCTATTCTTAATGTCATTTAATTTAATGTACATGTACCAATGGGTAATAGCAGGGAAGCCAAAGAAGCATTTGAGCAATTGTACAGATATGTCAATTAATTAAGTTGGTTTAATATCAACAAACAACAATAATGAATTATTAGTAATTAATTAATTAATTAATTAATTTTAATTAGAAATAATATCGAAATCCCAAAAATAAAGACCTATTTAAACGGCATTGTGGAAAAGGCTTTTGATTTTAATAGCGTCGCTTATCAAGAGGCTTGTTCTCAATTTTTATACGAATTAGATGGAAGGTAAAACTAAGATAATATGTTTTTGTCATCTAATATACATTATCTATTATAGGATGACTTTAGAACCTTTCATAATATACTGAAAAAACTTCGAAGGAACGTTGAACGAAACGCGAATCTTTTCTATAGTCAAGATTCAATTGTTGGATGACTCAACTTCTCATTGAAAAGATGGATGCTTGTAATAGGTAACTTTTAAGTTATTTTAATTAACCATACCTTTCTATTACCATTTCTCTTCGTAGTAAAAATGAAAGGTTTAAGGAATTGACGGATAGTTACGGTAATTTATTCAACGCTTGTTACGGTCTTCCGTGGCTATTTGAATGGGATGCTGAAGTATTTTCAAAACACCAGTTACAAGCGATTATCAAAGGAGAACGTTACCTGGACAAATTCTAGAAAGTTCTATGAAAAACATTTATCTAAAGTAAATTTTATGGCAATTTCAATACTCTTGTAAAAACTAAATAGATTTTCATTTCTCTCATTTAGAATAGAAATTTACACGAATTCATTAAACCGATTGTTGGTTCATTAAATAAGATTAAAAAGCAGGAAACTGATGAAACTTTACAGGTAATATACAATCAATTCTTACATTTTGATTTATTCCTATTATGTTTAGAAATTGGCGGCAGAAATTTTAGCCAAATTACCAGAAAATATGGTACTTTTAAGTGATGATGGAGGCAACGATACAATTACAGAATTTCTAAATACTAAGAATATTGATTTATTAGGTAAATATATTCTATATTTGAAGTGAAAGATAAAGTAAAAAATTGATGATTTTCCGTCTTAAGAAACGATTGCGAAAATTTATCCAAGTTGCAGTGATATTATTCATGAGAATCTAGAGTTTTTCATTGAAGTAACCGAAGAGAATACCGAACATTATACATATAGTATGTTACATTTATTGAAAAAAGTAGCCGAACAAGATCCAAGGGAGATTAACTCATCAGTTTTTGATTATTTAATAAATTCTCTTAGAATATCTTATGGAACGACGGCTTGTCTAGCTCTTCAGAAGTTGGCTATATCAAAATTCGATTTATTCAATGGCTACCATGACAAAATTGAACAGATTGTTAAATCTTATAAGAACGGTGTATTTTATTTACAACTATTGGCTGATTTAAGTCAAACAGCGGCATTAGGGGAAAAGTACGCTAAAGTTATTTGGGAAATGTTCAAGACGGGAGGTCAAGACTATAGAGCCAATTGTTTATCAGCCCTTCGTAATGTTGCCGTTAGACAAAGGGAGGCTGTTGAACGTTATAAACATGACATTGAACAATTAAAAACCGACCTAAGTATTAAAGATTGGGTCATGCTCGTTCTAGATGTTTTGGAAGGTAGATCCTTAGAAAAAGTTTCAAATGACCTCATTGAACAAAGGGAAGATATTGATAACTTGAACGTTAGAGTTACTAATAACGAAGGAAAGATTGAATATCTCGATAACGAAGTTAAAGACACTAAAGCCGAGATTAAGGTTGTTAAACTAGACGTTCAAGAAACGAAAGAGCGTCTCAGTCAAATGGAATATACAATGAAAGGACTCGACGAAAGAGTTGAACAACTCGGCTATATGACTCTTTCCCACGCTCCAGCTTGGTCTCGTCACGTTTCGGACCTAATGAATAATCAAGCTGATAACGATTGGAGATTACTCGCAATGAAACTTAATTATACAAATGATGATATTCGTAATTGGGCTACTCAGCCAGATCCATGCCTCTCGCTATTGGACGAATGGTTTGCCACCCACAAAACAAGGGAAGCCACTTTCGCTATATTAAATAATCTTAAAGATATGAATAGATTAGACGCCGTTGAAGTAGTTGAAAATGCCCTTGCCGCCGTAAAAGATGTTGTTACTGAGGAAACGGATGAAGTATTTGAAAAGCCCGAAATATTTCTCAGCTATCAATGGGGACATCAACAAGAGGTGAAATTATTAAAGAAACACCTGGAAATGGCAGGATTTAAAGCGTGGATGGATATTGGTCAAATGGGTGGTGGAGATAAACTATACGCAAAAATAGACGATGGTGTTCGATCGGCAAAAGTCATCATTAATTGTGTCAGCGAAAAATACGCTCAATCGGCAAATTGTTGTAGAGAAGTTAATCTATCAACTAATCTTGGTAAACCAATGATCCCTTTACTTATGGAACAGCTTTCCTGGCCTCCTCCAGGACCAATGGGTCCTATAATGTCTGAATATCTCTATATCAAATTTTTCAAATCCAACGACGTTGAAAAGGATAATAAAGTATTTTGGATGTCGGCAAAGTTTCAAGAACTACTTATGCAATTGAGATACTACGCAGCTCCCGACGTTGAACTCATTAAGAAGGATTCTCTCTATTACGGTTGGATGACTCCACCGGAAGAAGTGATTGTAATTCCCGATAGAAAGCAGAAAGTTGGAAATAATAATTCTAAGAAAGAAGAGAAAACCGTAGAAAACGAAAAAAGTCCCGACGTTTTCATATCTTATCAATGGGATAAACAAGAACAAATTAAACGTCTTTATAAGAAACTTACCGAAATGGGATATCATTGTTGGTTGGATATTATGCAAATGGGAGGAGGTGATTCGCTATTTGATAAAATTGATAAAGGGATAAGAGGCGCTAAAATTGTCGTATCGTGTGTAACTAAAAAGTACGCTTTGAGCGTCAATTGTAAAAGAGAAGTTTCCCTATCATCCGCCTTGAACAAACCGATTATACCTCTTCTATTAGAAAATATGTCTTGGCCACCGGAAGGTCAAATGTCAATGATATTTACTCAACTGTTGTACATAGGATTTCATAAAAAAGAAAATTCAAGTTTGTGGCAAGGAGATGAATTTGATCAATTAACGTCTAAGATTGATACAAACATTACTCCGTCCAACGATATTAACGATGAAGACGAGCTTGATAATTCTCAGGAAACTAAACAAACTGTTGTGGAAGCAGCGAAAACGGGTAGTTTAAAGGAAAGTAGTGAAAAGAGGAAAGAAGTTAAAAATAAAATGAACGAAAAGAAGAAGGACGAAGAAGTTGAGAAGAGAAATGCCGAGAGAGAGAGAGAAGAGAAGAGAAATGCCGAAAGACAAAGAGAAGAGAAGAGAAATGAAGAAAATAAAATGAACAACGAAAGAAAGGTTGCAAAAAAGGAGAATGAATCATCAACAAGAAGAGAAGTGGATAATCCACCTCCGAAGAAATCTTCAACTTGTACTATATTATAAATTGAAAGTATAAAACATGACAAAACGTAACTTTCGAGCTTAAAGTTAAAAATGAACGATCTCAGCGATTGTTTAATACGATTTCTATATGTTTCTCTAACCTTATTAAAGACTTTCCTATCCGTTTTGAATATATTAAAAACGTGGCTTAAACGTTGAGTGGGAGTTGGGGGAATTGAAAGAGAGTTTAATGATTGATTAATTCTTTCATAAATTGCTATTGCAGTACCAAATGTTTGGTTGTCATATTTTCTAAATAGACGTAATAAGAACATTAAAAGTATACTCAATTAATTAAAATAGGTTTATATGATTGTCATAAATACATAAAAGATATAAGTACTAATATTTATTCCCCTTATACTACAATTTAGATGTTAAAATATCAAGATAATGCAGATAAAATTGATGAACTATCGCTTGCTTAAAACTTGTATTTATTCCTAGCGAGAGAGAGAGAGAGAGAGAGAGAGAGAGAGACATACAACATCCAACACCGTAAATCAGCAAATGATACAAAACAGGGAAAAGGTAGGGGGAGGGTCGGATAAATTCTAAAATGAACATTTTAAACTATGCCAAAATGCTGAGGGAAGATTGATATCTGGAATTCTTTCAGTTTACTTCATTATTCATCTTTACAAAGAATATGGATCCTACGTTATCTATAGGATCTTTAACTGATTTTTGCAAGTAACAGATATCATTGGTTATGGTAAAAGCCGCACAGGTAACAGACTTTTTACATTCGTCGAAACACTGTTGAAAATCATCATTTTCAACCGTAATCCTTTTCAACTCTTCGCCTCGATTTGCTTCAAAGTTTCTCTTTTCAAAATCTTTATGATCGAAGAATGCTGTAAGGGAATAATTGTTTTTGTATATTTAACGAGAAGAAAACTGGTAAAGAGTGGACCTTTTTTATCTTTAATATAGAAAACGTTGTGGGGTCGGGAAGTAAACTCTTCGTAAGATTTAATCTTATCTTTCAACCAGCACATTTTCCTTACAGTATTGAATGAGAATGAAACGCAATTGGATAGAGTATTGCAGGTATTTACGCAACGATCTAGAAGGGTATTGTTAATAGTTTTAATATCATCACCAGCCGAGCATAGTTGATCGACAGCAAAGTAATTTTTAGCAATAACTGAAATATAATTGAATTAATAGAAGAAACAATTGACAATATTTTTATATAATTACTATTTTCGTGTCTGATGAAAAGACTTATGTCATTGTTTGGTTGTTGTAGTGATTTATCAAGACTATCATGTAAGTAGCACCTTTGCGTCTTTTCGTCAAACGTAATTGCCTTTGACATATACGACCTTTGAGCGTAGACCATACAAGCGTTAAGGTTTGAAACTCTATAAACTGCAATATGCTTAGTGATTTCCGTCTTTGGAACTTTTGTAAATCCAAAATATTCATCGTCAGCTAAAGTTAGAAAAGGTAAGTAGTTTAATTATAAAATATAGATATGTAAATATTTTCCATGATTACATTTGGCGTATTGAAATATTCCAATTATTACAAAAATACCAAGTTTAATGAAAAGTTCCATATTCAATATTGTTGAAATTTGAATAGTTTTTAAAAAGTGAGATTTCTTAGTTATGCATTTTATGTTTGCATTATATATATATATACATTTTGAACGTTCAAAAAACTATTAAACAGCCGCTTTTTAACTAGCAAATAAACTTTTTTCTTTGTTTTCCCTCTGCGAATTTATTATACGATTATTACTTTTGTATTTTATTCATTTATTACCTTTTTCAAAAATTTATTCTCATTTTTTGCAGTCGAAATTAAAACTTGAAACTAAAAGTTTCTCTGCAAAGGGTAAAACAATGTTATTGTTGTTCTTGAATAAAATTCCCATGTAAGTTAATGAATCGGGGTGTTTTTTGACATAAAACGTCTTCTTCTAGGCTCAAGACAAACGAAAAGTAAAAATTTATTGAAAAAACGTATACATTTAACAGATCAATTATAATTTTATAAATAATTAAAGGAAGATTATAGGACTACATACTTTTCGACGCGCAATATGACTAATATGAATAAAATAGAAGTATTCTATAGAAAAACATATTTATTTGTGGTTATATTTTTAAATATCATTTGACTGTGAATTGCTGACTAAATAATTCAATTCAAAACTTTATGAATATATATATGTTGTATGGTGTGGAATATTACACCGAAACGTTAATATTCATGGCAGTTTTTATATATATATAGTCGAATAGTTGACAGAATGGAAAGAAAATGTATAAATTAAAAGTATAAAAATGTGGATATTCTACTTTAGCAATGTAATGAATTGGAAGGTATCGTTAAAGTATCATTCTAACCTTCTCCCACTTTTAAATTTACTTCTATTTACTGTATTCATTTTACGATATAAGTGATATTTCTAACATTTCTTTCTCTCTATCTTTCTGTCTCTGTCTCTCTCTGTCCCATCGAATATCTTGCTGAAAAATATAAAAATTGAATTACTTTTAAAGAGTTTTTGCTTTTGATTGAAATTGTTACCATGACTGATATTATAAGATTTTACAACAGTTATCATTATCACATGACTCTAAAAACTAGAAAAAGATTAATTTTCTTCTCAGTTCAAGCAAAAAATATATATGGATAGAGAGGGTTGGCAGACATTTTGTATTGTCGGCGAGTAGCCATTTTGATATCAACTTCCGTAAAGGTTGAAAAAACTTAAAAATAATTACTTTAATTAATTATTTTAATTAGTTTATTATTTTTTTTATTATGTTACGAAAAAAATATTTCGATAAATTTATCAGGGTTCGTGGTTTTTCTTATTGCGCACGCGCATTTATACATTGAACCCTGTGAAGAAATGCCTCATCTCTTTTCTGACCAACATGTTAATGAATTAAAAGACTTATTCGAAATAAAAATTTCAGAAGGTTTAAAGTTGGAAAGATGTTTGTCTAAGGATGCAGTTTATCTTGATACTTTAAGAATAAGAAATGACTTTGAGCAGCATTTTTATGAAAAGACAATTGAACGTTTCAATAAAATTCAACAGCTAAGGGAACAAACCTTCGGAAAATGTGGAAAAATATTTTTACAATGTTCTATTGAAAGACACAGCACGAAATGTCTATTTCGCTTGTTCGGGTGTTGTACAAATTTGGGTGAGAATCATAGAACAAGTTACCTCATCGAGGTTGAGGTTAAAGAACCAAAACAAATAACGTACGAGTACTTGATGAGCCTGCTCGATAGGGAAAACATCACTCTCAACGTAGTAGGTATCTCTACGTTTGGCGATAGAGATTTGGATTTTGATACTCATCACTTTCCAAAGGTTGATGTAATTGTCCCTCTTAGTTGCTGCTTAATGAGGGACATTGATAAAAACCCGTTTGGAAATGTTTTAGAAACACTCTACGTATATGCAAAGAGGGAATTAAACATACCCGAACCACAGCCCTCTCCAGGACATCGATACTACATTCAGGAATTGGGTAACTATCTGACACAAATTCTGGCTAGCATTGATTCAGTCACTACTACACTAATCAAAAAATATATGGGTCTGATTGAGATCTTGATAAGCATATCACACGTCTATACTGAAGCCTATAGACAAAATAAGTTGGGATATTTTGTGGAGAATATACCAAATATCCGTCAACAATTGACAACGCAAAACGGGTATTTTGAGGAGACACTGCAATTTTTGTCTGATGAAAACTGGGGGATGTACGAAGAATTATGCAGAACATATCCATGGTTGCCATTTCGACCTCCGTACATGAATAGAGATCGAGCAATAAATCTAATGTCGTTCAACAGTCCGGAAGAGTTCAAATTAACCGAACAGTATTTTTTCTCAGATCTCTCGGCCAACGAACAATAATAAAATGTTCTTGAGAGCCAACTGAGATATACACTTGACAAGTTCTCTTCTGAATAGTTAAATCCTTACGTTTATCCATACTTTTGATAATAAAAAGATAATATAAATTAGCTTGTAGTCTGCTTAATTACTCATTCAAGACTTAGCAAACATAACATAACGATTGTTTAGGTTAATTAGATTGAAATCTTCCTAAAACATAAACCTGACAAAGTAAACGGCCCCCACTTTTGATTTGTCCAGCATCTCATCTTCCTTTTCGTCCATTGCTAATTCTTTCCCCTTCTTCGGCTCAGGAAGGAATTCAGGTTATGTGTTGCCACTTATCCTTGGAAGTGTATTGCTTTTTTTTCATCAGAAAACGAAGAAGCAGATATCCCAAACATGTACTCCGAGCACACGTGAGGGATCAGAAAGTTACGTAGTAAGGAGTAGTTTCAGAAGCTCAAGTACGCGAAGCATATCCTCTGGAAAGAGGAAGAGGAACAAAAATGACTAGGTGGAAGTGTGAATGGTGAAGAAGAAGAAAGACAGATGCCACTATCGAAAAGGGACAAGACTCCACAAAGACAACGTGCGAGTACTGCACAGAATATGAGTACATTTAATAGTATGGCAAATATTCAAGACATTCAAATCCATGGCAAGGGAGAATGAAAAAATTGAATGGAGCTTCATGACACCAAAGACCCTCATCAGGGAAAAATATGAGAGGTTGCCATAAAGGCAGCCAAGAACCAAGCAAAGCCAACATCCACAACCATTGGTCCCATCAAAAGTGTCCGACGATGCTCACATTGGTGGAAAAGGTGATAAACTGTAAACCACTACAATAGCCTCCTGGATGACCTCAATCAGGTGTTGGTAACACCCAATCCATAAGCAGATGTCAAAAAGAAATACAGTGGAACGAGGGAAAAAAGGATTGAACTGGAGGGAGAGGCGGTGGAATGAGATAGAAAGACAATGGTGCAAGATATAAATTTATAGTTGGTGAGCCGGCAAAGGAAAACTGAAGGAGGAAGAAAGCTACAGATTGGAGACAAAGTACTCATATCAGATAAAATGAAGGCAAGACAAAGATGAGTGAGTGGCTTTAATTAAGTTAGAGAAGTAAAAAGCTATTCATACTGTATACTGTATTGCTGTAAGTATTAGTAGTATTATAAGTATTAGTATATAGTGCCGTATATCAAGTTTGCGAAAATGTGGATATGTCATAGAGGTATTTCAGGGTTAACCCTTTCTTCTCACATTAGGGTTCATGTAATTAATTTTCTCAGTGGAATACTTGAAGAGCAACGCTCATGAATGGCAAATATGAAACGAGAGAGATGTTGATGGCCGAACTAAGCCACGAAGTGGCAAATAGACAAAGGCTGTAATGGAGAGGAGTTACGACCTGGCGGACAGAAAATCACCTACGACCCTGATAATGTTCGAAGGGGAGATGGATATGTTTGACAGCTGCTTGGTAAGACATGAAAGTATCCTATCGCACTACAGTGGAGTGAACGATGGGGAAAAGTTCGAATTATTGTATGCTCAATTGGGTAACAACATAAAAAAAGAGGTAAAAAGATTTCGACATTCCCCAAAGGACGGCTACAAAAGCGCAATGAGATTCTTAAGAACATTGGGAACTTAAGTTGAAGTGTACAGATGTGCGAAGTGGTGGACCAGAAAGAGTAGTAGGCTAACAACACGAAAGAAGAAGGGAACGTTGCTCAGAGGAGAGAGATCTGGAATGCTACTCCTTCGACAAGCCTCACCCTAACCCTTTTAATTTAATTAGGCCGTTGGTATAGGGTTAGAATGATTAATGATTATTTCTCGTGAATAAAAAACTAACAAAACTAACCGTTCTACCGTATTACATTATTAGTAGTCATACGACCAAAATATAGATCTCTCAACTGGTTTTTCTAACCCTAACACTAACCCTAACCCTAACTCGAAGATCTAACCCTGTTTTAGAATTATCAGATTGCTTAAACGGAATTTTCCGCTCAATTCTTTTACGTAAAAAAAACTTTTCTGACTGCGTAGTAATTTTACGAAAGATTAGTGTATGGTATAAATGCACCCAGTTTTCTCCTCTCATTTCTCCTCTCTCACTAATGATTAATGATTATTTCTCGTGAATAAAAAACTAACAAAACTAACCGTGCTACCGTATTACATTATTAGTAGTCATACGACCAAAATATAGATCTCTCAACTGGTTTTTCTAACCCTAACACTAACCCTAACCCTAACCCTAACTCGAAGATCTAACCCTGTTTTAGAATTATCAGATTGCTTAAACGGAATTTTCCGCTCAATTCTTTTACGTAAAAAAAACTTTTCTGACTGCGTAGTAATTTTACGAAAGATTAGTGTATGGTATAAATGCACCCAGTTTTCTCCTCTCATTCCAAAACCGGAATGTCCGACCGATTTACCTTCACATTAGAAACTTTACTTTGTTCTAAAATTGCTTCACCTTTAAGCCTGGAAAAATGTTTATCTGAAGATGGAGTTTACCTTGATACTTTGCAAGCAAGAAAAGACTTTAAAGAGCACTTTTATGAAAAGTCAATTGGGTGCTATCACCGAATTCGAAGGCTAAGGATGGAAAATTTAGGAAAATGTGGAAAAGTATTTCTACAATGCTCTATTGAAAGACACTTAACAAATTGTCTATTTCGCTTGTTCGGGTATTGTACTCATCGGAATTCCAGAAAATGTTACCTTATTGAGACAAAGATTTTAAAGCCGAAAGAAATAACGTACAATTATTTAATGAAACTACTCGATAGAGAAAACATCACTCTTAACGTAGTTGGTATCTCTACATTTGGTGATGAAAAATTAGGTTTTGATACTCACCACTTTCCAAAGATTGACCTAATTGTTTCTCTTAGTTGTTGTCTAGTGGAGGACATTAATAACAACAATTTTGCAAATGTTCTAAAGAAGCTATACGTATGTGGAAAGAGGGAATTAAACATACGTGAACCACAGCTCTCTAGAGGACTTGTATTCTGTATTCCAGAATTGGGCGACTATCTAATAAAAATAAGATATAGTAACGATCCAAAGCTTGCTGCCATGATTGAAAACTACTTGGGTGTCATTAACATACTGATTTACATATCATGTGTCTATACTCAAGCCTGTAGACATAATAAGTTGGGATATTTCGTGGAGAATATTCCAAATATCCGTCAACTAATGAAAACGCAAAAAGGACATTTTGAGGAGACGCTGCAATTTTTGTCTGATGAAAACTGGAGGATGTATGTAGAACTATGCAGAACATATCCATGGTTGCCATTTCGACCTCCATACATGAATAGATATCGAGCAAGAAGTCTCCTGTCATTCAACAACCCGGAAGAGGTTGAATTGACGGAACATTACTTCTTCAAAGATATTCCGACCGATACAGTTGACTAATTTTCTTCTTAACAGTTAAATTTTTTACGTTAATGCTAAATTCTTCATAATGATGAAATTATGCAAATTTATCCAATTACTTGAACAAGTTTCAATTAAAATTAGTTTGAAATTCGTCTAATTACTCATTCAAGATTTATGAAAGATGGCATAATAATCGTTAAAGTTAATACATTGGAATCTTCCTAAAACTTAAGCCTAGCGACTGCATGATTTGAACATGAAAATGTCCGTGGAATTAAGACACACCCTCTATTCTATTATTGCATAGCTATTGTTAAGTTTTTTTTTATATCTATCCGGCTAGCTCGTATTAGGTGACACATATTTACGTAATATTCAAGCTGAAATATTCTTCGATATTCTAAATTGTAGACGAGCGATTTAAGAATGTATTTTCCTTAATTGATCGTATGATATATAGCAATTTTAATTGGTGGTATTTGCGGAGAAGATAAGAGTAAAGCTTATACTCTCAAACTGTTTAGTGAGTATTATTTTCAACTCTTTCTTTTTGCCTTTTTTGTTCTACGAGTATTTATGACTGAGGACATTTTTAAAGCTAAATCTTTACTTGTTTCGCGTAGCTAAAAATCATTTAGCAAACTTGCATTCCTTTTATTCAATAAAGACGTTAACATCATTATAGCTATTGATACAATAGATTATCTCATTACATACCAATTGCCACTTTCAGTTGACTTGAAAGCTGATAAGGCTTGTCCTGTTCCCTCTACTGTTTTCAATGTTAATGATTAGAATTATGATAAAATGAAGAGTAGCCTAATAATAAAAAGAAACTGCAAAATTGCTGCTCCACGGTATAATAAACAAGAAATCAGAATCAAAGTTTTTTGACTTTTCCTTCATAGAATTTGTTTCTAAAAATCTAGATGAACGTACTAACCTAATTCCCTATTTCTCATATCAGCAGTAATTAACTTGGAGGGTTGGATGGTATTTATTAAATGAACGGCTCTATTCATTATTTTATTATTTTCAATAATCCTTTGTTCACCTGCAATTCATTTATTAATAGGTCAAATTCAATAATCAATAAATATGATTAGTCATAAATACGTACCATCGATAAACACAATGTGATCTCCTTTCGGCTGTAAAACTTGTTTTACGTGCCTCCAACTGCCACCGGCGTTTCCGTTTCTTAATCTCGGTGGTCCTATTTCTGGATAAGTTGGTGAAATATTTAATTTATTCCATTGTAAACTCGATTTGTGAGCATCGTCGTAACCGCCAGATTTGAAATAATGAAGATGCGTTGCTCCGTCTTTTGTATTCTATTCATTTGTTAATTATAAATTATACTGCTCTATTAGAATGTATTATTCAAATAGTTATATACTTACAACAACGGGATTGCCCAATGGATGGGTACCATTTGAACTCTTTTTCGAATACCGAAATTCGGTCATAGGCCTTCTAACTTGGTCGTCACTTTCGAAATTTGTTGCTCTGGATAACGTACCATCACATCCTATTCGTCGTCTTGCTCCAAGATTTCTATACCTTCCTTTTCTAGCTTCATCGTAGAGATTAATAGGATCGTGTGGAACGAAGTCATTCCACCTCGTCATCCAAGTGTAGGTAGTTCTGTTGTAATAGAAAAAAGAGCCAAATAACCTAAGGGAATAGCTGATCACGTGACGAACTACCTGGATCTAGCATTGTCCTTTCTCGGATGATACACATTCTTCTGAAAGTCTAGAGACATTACTGATTTTAGTAAATAAAAACTAAAGGTACGTTCAGTGTCTATTAGCAACTCGTCCTCAGCAATTGCAGGCTTTGATAAATCAATACTTTGGCCAAACGGCATACAAAGAAATAAATACAACAAGCGCTTTCAATAAACACTTCGGATTTTGCTATCTCAAAGTCATCAAATAATCATGTTCAATTTCCATTTGAACAGCAATCCAAAGTATTCAGGCCCGGTAATTCTTTAAAGAAAATCATATGACGAATATTGTTGGCTTAAGATCCTTCGCAAAAGAGAGCCAAGAGTCTTACTCTCCTGAATATACGGGTAACTATAATCTATGTTTATATTATTATCTATAGGAAAATATTTCACACTTCATTAGCTCTTTTCAGACATAAATTGTATCGTAGTTACACTCAAGGGATTTATATAAATGTCTATCTATTAATATATTTGACAATTGTTCATCAAACTAAATTCTATAAATTATATGTCAATGTATTTATTTTCTAGAACAAAGTCCAAGGGATTTCCTCTGCAGAGAAGTTTCAAAATATGGACTTGACATATTGAATACTCCGATTTGTATAGCCAAACTGCAGCACTTGAACACAACACAGGAAGATTTTATTCAAGAATTTGATCAGGATGCTGTAGTATTTCGCAATGAATATAAAGCAAAGACTAACAAACTCTTGAATCAGTCTTCTTCAGTATTCCTTATATGTACCATACAAACCATTGGAGAACGGAATTTGCTGCTGATTTATGTCACTATTCCTCGATGCCAAACAAGCATACAGCGTCTCTTTGATGTTCGACTTCTAAGAAGCAGCGATAATATAACTCAAGTGGTTCAAGGAAGCATACATCCAATATACAAAAAAGTTATTGGCTATACAGTTCTCGGGAATAAACATTTCAAAATCAATCATCGCTTGCTGTACGTTGATATCAAAATGAAACTGGAATATAATTTTTACGTTGATATTATTAATATTCCCAGCCTCCGTCTATATGACTTAAATACACATTTAGAGAAAAAATGGGACATAAGTGAACCTAAATATTTTAAAGGGGATAAGCTGTTTATAAACACATTCGCCGATCATATCAATGAAGCTCAAAAGTATAATGACGAATTCTTGAGAAACTGGAAGAATGAAAACAGATCAACATTAAGAGTTATAGAGAAAGTATCAGAAGTATACTCCAGAATTTTAGACAGCAATCAACTGCAATATTTTATTGAAAATATTGATAATATACGGTCGAAATTCCCGAATAAAATGTTTGAGATGTGCTATTCAGTATTAGAGGAAGATTTTAGCACTTTAGCGGAGTTGTGTGACAAGAACCCTAGGATTCCGTTTGGGGTTCGGCTAATGCCTCTATGTAATGTTGAACACTTGTTCTCATCGCAGATGATTGAAGGAGATAGGGAATTATTAACCTTCATAAAGTTTAAATATGGAGCATAATGCTGTATATCAAGGGCATTGAACAAAGTGTGTTGTTATGTCTCGACTCCGCCCTCTTACTTGCCAGTCCAAAGAAAAAAAAGACTTATTAATATTTCTCTCCTAAGAGTGGGCTCCATTTCACTTCACATTAACAACTGTACTTTCCTTCCGTAGAGTTGTCGATAAGTACTGTACACGACAAAATTATAGGATTGAGGAGGTTGTATGCATACCCTTTGCCTTTTTTATTGCATTTAGCCTTCTTTCAAATAAAAGAACTTGAAAATGTTGTTTTCTTTTTATTAATAAAATTAAAAATATAATAAATTTGAAAAGTTGAACTAAGAACTAACATCTAAGACTTTGCAGATTTATAGAAATCTTTATCTGATATCTCTTCAAATTTTTTGTATTTTCTAAGACAAGATCAGCTTCTCTTTTTAACTCGTCTAAAAGATTCTAAAATGATTTTGCTGTTTCCAGCACTTACATTTAACCTGTTTTGAAATCCTTCCACACCATTGTAGGCTCTTATGGCAACATCAAAAACAGACCATAATGAGCATGGCTATATTCTGTTTTAATTGCTTGGCCATTGCAAAAATTAACACTATTTCATTTTGATGTAATAAGTCACATTGGAGGAAGCCATCGGCAATAAAAGAATGATTATGTATAAACGCCAAAGATTCTGCTTCTTTTGGTCGATTTTTCCCTCTGCAATAATTAACAACCTGCTTTCAAATTGTAATTTTTGGAAAATTTGAACTTTATTCACATTGAAACTTGTTCAAGTAATTAAAAAGACAAAGAACTATTACGATGTAATCTATAGTTCATATACAGTATATACTGATTATATTAGTATATTGATAAGTATGATTAATAATAATTCAAATGTCATATTTTTTAATTTTCGACTAGTAACTTTCACAAAAAGGCAACATGATTCAAATGCTGTTAAGGTTGAGTTCATTGTTCAGTGTTGGCTGTTGCCAAGAACCTTGTTGAAGATCAGTTCTTCTACGATAACAAAACGATATAATTTACTGTATGTAACCGTATCAAACGGTTGCTGTATTCTAATTGACTACTAATTGGTATCGATATAATCACGTGTGGATACACTTGATTACGTAACTACGAGATTGCATCTCGCGGTGAACGATTTCGAGATTTAACACTTTGTATACATAAATATATATATATATTGCCCCCAACCGTAATACTACATTTAACTCTGGAGATCTTGGAAGTTCTCCAACAAACCTAATAACGGGATGACAAAATAAAAAAGAACACAGTAGGTAAAACGCGATTCTAAAACAGTATACAAAGTACTGAACAAAACAAATTTGATTAATTATAAAATACTTCCAAATTAACAAGTTTCAGTGTTTTTTTTGCTGGCAAGTAAAAGGGCGGAGCCGAGGCACAACAACACACTGTGTATGTAAGGATTCAGCTATTCAGAAGAGAACTTGTCAAGTGTATATCTCAGTTGGCTCTCAAGAACATTTTATTATTGTTCGTTGGCCGAGAGATCTGAGAAAAAATACTGTTCGGTTAATTTGAACTCTTCCGGACTGTTGAACGACATTAGATTTATTGCTCGATCTCTATTCATGTACGGAGGTCGAAATGGCAACCATGGATATGTTCTGCATAATTCTTCGTACATCCCCCAGTTTTCATCAGACAAAAATTGCAGTGTCTCCTCAAAATACCCGTTTTGCGTTGTCAATTGTTGACGGATATTTGGTATATTCTCCACAAAATATCCCAACTTATTTTGTCTATAGGCTTCAGTATAGACGTGTGATATGTTTATCAAGATCTCAATCAGACCCATATATTTTTTGATTAGTGCAGTAATGACTGAATCAATACTATCCCGAATTTGTATCAGATAGTTACCCAATTCCTGAATGTAGTATCGATGTCCTGGAGAGAGCTGTGGTTCGGGTATGTTTAATTCCCTCTTTGCATATATGTAGAGTGTTTCTAAAGAATTTCCAAATGTGTTTTTATCAATGTCCCTCATTAAACAGCAACTAAGAGGGACAATTAGATCAACCTTTGGAAAGTGACGAGTATCAAAATCCAAATCTCTATCGCCAAATGTAGAGATACCTACTACATTGAGAGTGATGTTTTCCCTATCGAGCAGGCTCATCAAGTACTCGAACGTTATTTGTTTTTGTTCTTTAACCTCAACCTCGATGAGGTAACTTGTTCTATGATTCTCACCCAAATTTGTACAACACCCGAACAAGCGAAATAGACATTTCGTGCTGTGTCTTTCAATAGAACATTGTAAAAATATTTTTCCACATTTTCCGAAGGTTTGTTCCCTTAGCTGTTGAATTTTATTGAACGTTCAATTGTCTTTTCATAAAAATGCCGCTCAAAGTCATTTCTTATTCTTAAAGTATCAAGATAAACTGCATCCTTAGACAAACATCTTTCCAACTTTAAACCTTTCGAAATTTTTATTTCGAACAAGGCTTTTAATACATTAACATGTAGGTCAGAAAAGAGATGAGACATTTCTTCGCAGGGTTTAATATATGCATATATAAATGCGCGTGCGCAATAAGAAAAACCACGAACCCTGATAAATTTATCGAAATATTTTTTCGTAACATAATAAAAAAAATAATAAACTAATTAAAATAATTAATTAAAGTAATTATTTTTAAGTTTTTTCAACCTTTACGCAAGTTGATATCAAAATGGCTACTCGCCGACAATACAAAATGTCTGCCAACCCTCTCTATCCATATATATTTTTTGCTTGAACTGAGAAGAAAATTAATCTTTTTCTAGTTTTTAGAGTCATGTGATAATGATAACTGTTGTAAAATCTTATAATATCAGTCATGGTAACAATTTCAATCAAAAGCAAAAACTCTTTAAAAGTAATTCAATTTTTATATTTTTCAGCAAGATATTCGATGGGACAGAGAGAGACAGAGACAGAAAGATAGAGAGAAAGAAATGTTAGAAATATCACTTATATCGTAAAATGAATACAGTAAATAGAAGTAAATTTAAAAGTGGGAGAAGGTTAGAATGATACTTTAACGATACCTTCCAATTCATTACATTGCTAAAGTAGAATATCCACATTTTTATACTTTTAATTTATACATTTTCTTTCCATTCTGTCAACTATTCGACTATATATATATAAAAACTGCCATGAATATTAACGTTTCGGTGTAATATTCCACACCATACAACATATATGTATTCATAAAGTTTTGAATTGAATTATTTAGTCAGCAATTCACAGTCAAATGATATTTAAAAATATAACCACAAATAAATATGTTTTTCTATAGAATACTTCTATTTTATTCATATTAGTCATATTGCGCGTCGAAAAGTATGTAGTCCTATAATCTTCCTTTAATTATTTATAAAATTATAATTGATCTGTTAAATGTATACGTTTTTTCAATAAATTTTTACTTTTCGTTTGTCTTGAGCCTAGAAGAAGACGTTTTATGTCAAAAAACACCCCGATTCATTAACTTACATGGGAATTTTATTCAAGAACAACAATAACATTGTTTTACCCTTTGCAGAGAAACTTTTAGTTTCAAGTTTTAATTTCGACTGCAAGAAATGAGAATAAATTTTGAAAAAGGTAATAAATGAATAAAATACAAAAGTAATGCTTACGTAATCTATATTTTTAGAAACAAATTCTATGAAGGAAAAGTCGAAAAACTTTGATTCTGCTTTATAATTCTGAATTCTGAATAAAAGGAAAGCAGGTGGCCTTATGATTATTAGCTACGCAAAACAAGTAAAGATAAACGTTAAAAATGTCTACAATCATAAATACTCGTAGAATAAAAGATAAGTAACCCTAACCCTAACCCTAACCCTAACCCTTAGTTGAAAAAAAACTCACTAAATAGTTTGAGAGTGTAATATTCCTCTAATGTTCTGTAAAAATTCTACAATTTAAAATTATTGATTATCATAACATCAGTTTAGAAAAATGTTCTGTACAAGCCAGGTTTTGTATGCCACAGCTGCTAATAGCGGTGAATATGCAAAAAAATTATGTGCTTTCTGCATATTGTGGTAGCTTTAGCTCCATTGATAGTCTCCATTGGATAAGGATATCTTGTGATTTCATTCATCGATGGTCCTTTCCGGTATACTTTATAAAATAAGATATAATAATTAAAGAAATACTTTTACTTGTAACCATTTGAAATATAACATTATCTATAAAGAAATATTAATGATTGTCATTGGCACTAACTTTATTTTGTCTCTTACCATCTTCTTTCTTTAAAGTTCCTCTAATTCTTATTATAGAAATTGGTAGCACATTTATAGTTATCTTTTGAACCCTTAGAAATCTTCCAGTGCAACTGCAAATCTTACAAAAGAAATTTCCAGAATTCTTTGCAGTCTGCTGATAGATGAGTGATCTTTGTTGAAAACATAATTGTCCTCCGATTAGCAACTTAGTTTCTGTATAAACTTCAAACATGTCAAGATTACCTGTAAAAATATGATTACTTATATGTTATTGATTTTAATAGGCAATCAAAGATTATAGTCTTTACTTGCGCTATCTCCATTAATTACGCAAACTTTCTGTGTATAGTCCTTGAAAGTCAACAGCCCACCAAGGACGTTCCGAGCAACCAGCTATGGACTTTGCAGTTTTAAAGATGGCATCCATCAAAGCTCTACTGGCATTATTATTCTTAACAGCAGTGACTTGTTGGTATGCTGGATGATTCGTTGCAATATTATCTTCTATAGAAATATAACAAAAGCCAAAAGATAAATATACAACAACCAATTGAATTATTATAAGAAAATGATGTACTAAATTCATCTTTATAGTCTATTGAAATTGTTGGAAAGGGAAAGAGTTGGACAATACAAGTTGAACATTTATAAACTGTTCAG